CCAACAAGAAGACCTAAGAGTTTTAAATATCTATGTCCCTAACATGGGAGCAGCTAATTATATAAGCCAATTAATAACAAAATCAGAGAGACATATCAACAATAATAGTAGTGGACTTTAACAGCCCCTCACTGAAATGGACAGATTATTTAAGCAAAAGATCGACAAGGAAATAAAGGCTTTAAATGACGCACTGGACCAGATGGACTTCACAGATACATTCAGAACATTCCATCCCAAAGCAACAGAATGCACATTCTTCTCTAGTGCGCATGGAACACTCTCCAGAATAGATCACATCCTCGGTTACAAATCAGGTCTCAACTGTTACCAAAATATTGGGATCATTCCCTGCGTATTTTTGGACCATAGTGCTTTGAAACTAGAACTTAACCACAAGAGGAAAGTTGGAAAGAACTCAAATACATGGAGGCTAAAGAACATCCAACCCACACCAAGGAAATACAAACAATTATAAGAACATATTAAAAGCAACTATACACCAGCAAATTAGACAATCTGGAAGAAATGGGCTTCATTCCTAGAGACATATAAACTACCAAAATTGAACCAGGAAGAAATAGAAAACCTGAACAGACCCATAACCAGTAAGGAAATTGAAGCAATAATCAAAAGTCTCCCAACAAACAAGAACCCAGGGCCAGATGGCTACCCAGGGGAATTCTACCAAACATTTATTTTTTTTTAAGATTTTATTTATTTATTTGACAGAGATCACAAGTAGAGAGTCAGGCGGGGGGTGGGGGGCAGGCTCCCTGTTGAGCAGAGAGCCCGATGCGGGGCTTGATCCCAGGACCCTGAGATCATGACCTGAGCCAAAGGCAGAGACTTAACCCACTGAGCCACCCAGGTGACCCTCTACCAAACATTTAAAGAAGAATTAATACCTATTCTCCTGAAACTGTTCCAGAAAATAGAAATGGAAGGAAAACTGCCAAACTCATTTTAGGAGCCAGCATTAATATGATCCCCAAAGCAGACAAAGACACCATCAAAAAGGAGAATTACAAACCAATATCCTTGATGAACACAGATGCAAAAATTCTCACCAAAATATTAGCCAATAGAATCCAACATTTCATTAAAAGGATTATTCACCACGACCAAGCGGGATTTATTCCAGAGCTGCAAGGTTGGTTCAACATCCACAAATCAATCCATGTGATACAACACATTAATAAAAGAACAAGAACGATATGATACTCTCAATAGACGCTGAAAACCCATTTGACAAAGTACAGCATCCTTTCTTGATCAAAACTCTTCAAAGTGCAGGGATAGAGGGTACATACCTAATACCATCAAAGCCTTCTATGAAAAACCCACGGCCAATATAATCCTCAATGGGGAAGAACTGAGAGCTTTTCCCCTAAGGTCAGGAACATGGCAGGGATGTCCACCATCACCACTGCTATTCAACATAGTACTAGAAGTCCTAGCCTCAGCAGTCAGACAGCAAAAAGAAATAAAAGTCCTCTGAATCAGGGGCGCCTGGGTGGCTCAGTGGGTTAAAGCCTCTGCCTTCGGCTCAGGTCATGATCCCAGGGTTCTGGGATCAAGCCCCACGTCAGGCTCTCTGCTCGGTGGGGAGCCTGCTTCCTCCTCTCTGCCTGCCTCTCTGCCTACTTGTGATCTCTGCCTGTCCAATAAATAAATAAATAAATCTTAAAAAAAAGTCATCTGAATCAGCAAAGAAGAAGTCAAACTCTCACTCTTTGCAGATGATATGATACTTTATGTGGAAAACCCAAAGAATCCACCCCAAAACTGCTAGAACTCATACAGGAATTCAGTAATGTGTCAGAACATAAAGTCAGCACACAGAAATCAGTTGCATTTCTATACACCAACAATAAGACAGAAGAAAGAAATTAAGGAGTCAATCCCATTTACAGTTGCACCCAAAACCATAAGATACCTAAGAATAAATCTAACCAAAGAGGCAAAGAATCTGTACTCAGAAAACTATAAAGTACTCATGAAAGAAATGGAGGAAGACCCAAAGAAATGGAAAAATGTTCCATGCTCATGGATTGGAAGAACAAATATTGTGAAAATGTCTGTGCTACCTAGAGCAATCTACACATTTAATGCAATCCCTGTCAAAATACCATCAACTTTTTTCAAAGAAATGGAACAAATAATCCTAAAATTTGTATGGAACCAGAAAAGACCCCAAATAGCCAGAGGAATGTTGAAAATTAAAACCAAATCTGGTGGCATCACAATTCTGGACTTCAAACTCTATTACAAAGCTGTCATCATTGAGACAGTATGGTACTGGCACAAAAACAGACACATAGATCAGTGGAGCAGAATGGAGAGCCCAGAAGTGGGACAACTAATCTTCAACAAAGCAGGAACGAATGTCCAATGGAAAAAAGACAGTCTCTTCAACAAATGGTGTTGGAAAAATTGGACAGTCACATGCAGAAAAATGAAACTGGGCCATTTCCTTACAGTGCACATAAAAATGGACTCCAAATGGATGAAAGACTTCAGTGTGAAAAAGGAATCCATCAAAATCCTTGAGGAAAACACAGGCACCAATCTCTTTGACCTCAGCCGCCTGCAGCTTCTTCTTAGAAACACTGCCAAAGGCAAGGGAAGCAAGGGCAAAAATGAACTCTTGAGACTTCCTCAAGGTAAAAAGCTTTTGCACAGCAAAGGAAATAGACAACAAAACCAAAAGGAAACTGACAGAATGGGAGAAGATATTCGGGAATGACATGTCAGATAAAGGGCTAGTATCCAAAATCTATAAAGAACTTATCAAACTCAACACCCAAAGAACAAATAATCCAATCAAGAAATGGGCAGAAAAGGGACGCCTGGGTGGCTCTGTTGGTTGAGCAGCTGCCTTCGGCTCAGGTCATGTTCCCAGCGTCCTGGGATTGAGTCCCACATCGGGCTCCTTGCTCGTCTGGGAGCCTGCTTCTCCCTCTGCCTCTGCCTGCCATTCTGTCTGCCTGTGCTTGCTCTCTCTCCCTCTCTCTCTCTCTCACAAATAAATAAATAAAATCTTTAAAAAAAAAGAAATGGGCAGAAGACATGAACAGACATTTCTGCAAAGAAGACATACAAATTGCCAGCAGACACATGAAAAATGCTCAACATCACTCATCATCAGGGAAATTAAAATCAAAACCACAGTGAGATACCACCTCACACCAGTCAGAATGGCTAAAATTAACAAGCCAGGAAACAACAGATGCTGGTGAGGATGTGGAGAAAGGGGAGCCCTCCTACACTGTTGGTGGGAATGCAGGCTGGTGTAGCCACTCTGGGAAACTATATGAAGTTTCCTCAAAAAGTTGAAAATAGAGCTACCCTACAACTCCGCAATTGCACTGCTAGGTATTTACCTCAAAGACAGAAAGGTAGTGATCTAAAGGGGCATGTGTACCCCAGTGTTCATAGCAGCACTACTGGGTATTTCCCCATTGATATAGATGTAGTGAAAAGAAGGGCCATATGCCCCCCAATGTTCACAGCCAAACTGTGGAAAGAACCAAGATGCCCTTCAGCAGATGAATGGATAAAGATGTGGATATACACAATGGAATATTACTCAGCCATCAGAAAAGATGAATACACAAAATTTGTGTCAACATGGATGGGACTGGAGGAGATTATGCTAAGTGGATGAAATAAGTCAAACAGAGTAAGTTATCATATGGTTTCACTTATTTGTGGAAAATAAGGAATAGGGTGCCTGGGTAGCTCAGTGGGTTAAGCCTCTGCCTTCAGTTCAGGTTGTAATCTCAGGGTCCTGGGATCGAGCCCCGCATCAGGCTCTCTGCCCAGCGGGGAGCCGCTCCCCACCCCCCCATCTCTGCTTGCCTCTCTGCCTACTTGTGATCTCTGTCTGTCAAATAAATTTAAAATAAATTTTTGAAAATAAGGAATAGCATGGAAGACATTAGAAGAAGGAAGGGAAAAATGAAGGGAGAAATCGGAGTGGGAGACGAACCATGAGAGACTATGGATTCCTAGAAACAAACTGAGGGTTTTAGAAGGGGGAGTTGGAGGATGGGTGAGCCTGATGATGGGTATTAAGGAGGGTACAGATTGCATGGAGCACTAGGTGTTATACACAAACAATGAACAATGAAATGCTACATCAAAAGCTAATGATCTACTCTATGGTGACTAACATAGTAAAAAAACAAATGGGATAAAGAGTATTATTATTTCCTTTTTTATATCTCCTTAAGGAATACTTTTTACATTTGCATTTCCTTATACAGCCATGTTAACCATATGAAGAAGAATTACTTAGACATTAATTTTCAAGTTGACAGGTCGCAATTTCCTTCTTTCTTTCTTTTTTTTTTTTTAATAATTTTTATAAATAACTCAAACTTATGGCCCTAGGATCAAGAGTCAAATGCTCTTCTGACTGAGCCACCCAGGCTGCTCCCATTTTTATTGCTAACGTATCTCCCCTATACCTAAGATCTTTATTTTTGTTTATTTATTGTATACTAAAGTATTTCTTTGAGTTATAAAAAAGAGTATGTATCTGAGTGTTTGCATAGCTACAAGTATTTATTAAATGTGTATTCTGACATAGCAGTTATAACTATAGCAGACTTTTTAAAGGAAATGATAGTAACATGCAAAGATGTGTGTATAAGTTCATTTTGTAGTATTACTACAAAGTAAATATTAGAAACTAATAGATGTCCATAAATTGGTTAAATAAAATAAAGTTATTTCTAATCATTATTACAGAATTTTAATAGTTTTATCACCTTTGTCTCCTAACTGAAATTAATGTAAGCATCATTAATCTTTTTGCTGTTACTTGTGCAAGTTGTGTCAGAAGTTTAGACCATACAGACCAAATATTATGTAAAGTTATTAACATTAATATTCCATTTAGTATCTTTCACTTTTTCAACTGGATTAAATACTCGCTGGTTAGATATTTATTATTGAAAAAAATTTAAGAAATATTAGTCTGTTCCTTGTAGTCACTCCATGGATTCCTTTGGGCAACCCAGACCAGAAGATAACCAGTCAGTAGTTAGCAGAATGCAAAAGAAATACTGGAAAACTAAACAAGTCTTTATCAAAGCAACAGGAAAAAAGGAGGATGAGCACGTGGTGGCATCTGATGCTGAACTGGATGCTAAACTCGAGGTAAATTTGAGGATTCTTTATGTTGCATGTAAGTGGTTATTCTTTGGGACTATGACTGAAGAGCTTGCAAATTCGATAATAGAATGTTTAATTGTATTCATCTGTCAAACAGATCTTCTGCAGTCAAATTCTCTACCACTGAGCTATACCCCCACAATCAGATCTTCTGCATAGGAGGTCACAATTCTCACAAGTTGAGAATTGGCAGAACTGGTACTCATTAATTAGAGAAAGAATAACTAAACAATTTCTCTGGCGCAAGTATTAGTTTTTAAGCTAAATATTAATGAATTAATTATATTCTTAATTGAGACCATATACTCATTATATATCATGTTGTAATATTTTGTACTACTTTTATGTGAAGTCTTATATCTCGCTGAAATTAACTGAAATCAAATAATGAGGTTTTTTATGTTTATTTTTTAAAGTTTATTTCTTTATTTAAATAATCTCTACACCCATTGTGGGTCTCACAACCTTGAGATCAAGAGTTACATGTGACACTGACTGAGTCTGCCGGCCAGTGTCCCCTGAGTGAGGATTTTTAAAGTTAGAGTCTTTGTTTCTGTAATTAAGGGATAGAGTTATTGAAGTATTTTGTAATGTGTTTTTTTGGCTATGTTTTTGGCTATGTTTTTCATTTTAAATAAAATAAGTAATTACCATGAAACTACTTTAAACCTATAAGCGTTTTATACTTTTAAGTAATTAAACTAATTAAAGAAAAGTCTCCTATATATACAAAAAGGTCTGGGTTTTTAAATGCAGGTTTACTAATTCCATGTATGTAAACTAATTGAAAATAACTTTTAAAAATATTTCCAAGCAGGAGTTCTATTATGCTTGGAATATAATCATTTGTTGCAATCCTTAGAAGTATAGATCTCATTAAATAGGTCATAATCTACTAAGTATTTTTATTCTACAAAACATAAAGTTATGTCATGGCCATAACAAATGTAGAAATAGATAACAAATTAACAAGTGTGTACTATTTGTTTTGAAAAGTATTCTTCTTATGATTCAATGACAAGTGTGGAAAAAATGAAGGGACTTGATTATAAGTAATCAGTATTTTGAGGCTAAAGGAACTCTTTACTGTTTTCACATATATTCCCACATAAGTAAGTTTTACTGTCCTGTTTTACATTGTTAAGTAATCTGTGTGACATATTTTCTTGTCCATTAGACAAATATTTGAAATCACCCAAATACTTTCTCCCACATTATAATATTTTTTAAGATTGAGAAAAATTTTCATTGAATGTATACTTATATCATCATGTTATATGCTTTAAATATATTACAGTTTTTTCAAATTATACTTCCCCTTACATTAAAAAAAATTCATTCTAAAAATAAAAAGCAGTTGTATATAAATCTTTCAAAGACCCTTGGGGGGAAAAACAACTATAATCATTTCATCATAGTAAAACAATCATTTTTATTTTTTTAATTTTTTTAAATTTAAAAAAAGATTTTATTTATTTATTTGACGGACAGAGATCACAAGTAGGCAGAGAGAGGGGGAAGCAGGCTCCCAGCTCCCAGCAGAGAGCCCAATGCAGGCCTTGATCTCAGGACCCTGGGATCATGACCTGAGCCAAAGGCAGAGGCTTTAGCCCACTGAGACACCCAGGTGCCCTAGAACAATCATTTTTATATCTTTTTCTAGTCTTCCATGTGATTTTAAAACAGCTTTTTAAATTGCCAATTCCATCTACCAAATTCATTTCAAACATACCTAACCTTATGTGGAAAGTTGATGGTTGCTCCTCCATTTAGATTTTAGTGTCTATCACTGATCTTCCTTGGGTCTAATCACATATCAGAATAATAAGAAAACTGTTTCAGAGAGGGAATATACAGGCTCAATGGTGATATTGGAAATTTATTTGATACTCAAAAGGTTATTAGTGCCTAATACTATGCTACAATGCCAAGGTCTTTTTGAATTAAAGTCTTGTAACAGTTCTTCAGCAGAGCACTTTGTAGGAAGAAGGCTGTACCCTAAAACCTATGCCACCCCATTTTCCTGGGAAAACCTTAATTTATAGATATGTATGAAGAATCACCTCATGTGTATAATGTGTCCTAATCTCAAATTTTCATGTGCTTACTTTGAAATGGGTGTCTACTGGATGTTTTATTTTTCTGTTAGCTCTTTGCAACAGTGGTAATGAAGGGAAAATTCCAAACAAAAACAACCTGAAAGTAATTTATTTTTGATGTTATAATATATTACTTAATTTTTATGGTAATTCCCTCACCTGTTATGCTAAAGATAATATTGTAGAAAAGCCAGATTGAGAGTTAACATTTTCTAAGGTTATCTATACTGTTTTCATCTGTAATTGGCACTATTTGATATAGTTTATATTGGATTTACATTTTTGTTAGATAGTTTGGAACTGAGAAGAGGACAAACTCCACAGTTATAAATTTTTATTAATTCCCATGTATTTATCACCATTTTTTCCAACCCTCTTGGGGAATCTCAATTTTCTATATCAAAAATAAAACCAATAGTGAAGTACATCTAAGTCAAGGAAAACAGACATACCACTTAAAAGGAAATGTTCTGCTTTCAAAGTGCTTATAACATATATATTATATTTGCTTATGGTTCTTTAGATTGTCCTAATAAAATTTATATTTCAAAGGTATTTCACTCCATTCAAGAGACATGCGCTGAACTTCTGAAGATAGTTGAGAAATATCAGCTAAGACTCAATGGTATGAAATCCTAGATACCTATCCAATAATTCTCATTTACAATAAATAATTCACTTGCATTTTTGTGAATTAAATATTTAATACAAAAACAATAGTTTGCTGAACTATTTTGTGAATGGTTCCTTATGACGAAGTAACAGCAAGGAGCGGTGGGAATGGGGGGCTAGCAAGTGAGGGGCTTGAGTTCTGCTGCTGCCTTAGACGTACTGAGGGAATCCCCTTTCAGTTTTTTGGCTTTTTTTTTTTTTTAAGTAGACTCTATGCCTAGCGTGGAGCTTGAACTCACAACCCCAAGATCAAGAGTCACATGCTCTACTGACTGAGTCAGCTGGCACCCCTTCCTCTTTCAGTTTTTAACTTCAGCTTTTCCAGCAGTGAACCAGGGTGTAATTGGCATGACATTAGTCATTTGTCACTTTAAGCTTATAATTTGAACACTTTATGGGCTCCCCCACTTACTAGTCTTATTGTGATTAGTGGGTCAGACTTCTAAAACTTTGTGGTCAAGGACCACTTTTGTTTCATGTTTTACTTTCAATCTGTTGTAAACTGACACTTTTATAATATACAATAAAAATTAATTTCTAGAAAAATGAAATTAAAGGAGACATACAAAATGTAAGCACACTTCTTTATTATTATTAGGTTCAACAGATATAAAATACTCAAATTAGTAAGTTTCTAAACAGCTTCTTAGTTTTGGCACCTGTTATAGCTACAGGCTGGTAACAAGTGGTTCTGGACTGAAATTGGTCGACGGACCACACTCTGAGTAGTAGTATACTACATGACAACTTTTTCGGTTTCAGCAGTAAAATTGTGCATGTCTGTGGGCGTGGGATACTGAATACAGGTCACCGAAGCCAGGGTGGGGGTCAAGATTAAGTTAAGTTTAAATAGGATATGAATACTTACTAAGAGGCAATGATCCTAAAATGCATGTCTGCACAATTGCTAGTGCATCATTTGTGGTTTTGTCATTTTGGAACTTTTTTTTTTTCCTTCACTAAAGATCAGTCTTTCCCAAATGCAAGTTCTGAAACTTCACAGAATTTACATCAAAACCATCCAGAGTACTTGTGGGTGGGGGGAAGCAGATCCTAAGACTTATAAAATCAGAACCTCTGTAAATGTAGCCCCAGGAATTTGCATTTTTAAAATAAGCTTCTCCTTCCTCCAAGCAATTCTTACATATTGAGAATTATTGCTGTGAGAATTTTAGTTGTGTGTTTTAAACAAATGATGAAATGAAACAACTAACTATACTGTGATTTTTTTCCTAGTTATATCAGAGGAAGAAAATGAACTAGGACTCTTTTTAAAGTTTCAAGCAGAACGGGATCCAACACAAGCTGGTAAAATGATGGATGCTACTGGCAAGGCACTCTGTTCTTCAGCCAAGCAGAGGTTTACTATTTTTTACATCATCCTTAAATCTGTACTCAACATGATAGTTTTGGCCTATGTTTCTAAATTTGCATATCCGTAAAGGTTACCGGTCATTTCAGTAAAGGGTTAAAAGAGAGATATATTACAGCATATAATTGTTTTGATGCCTCTTATTTATTTTGTATGTAAAAGAATTACTTAAAAATGGACATTTTAGGTTGCTTAATTCCCAGAAATAGGCTTTAAGCCTGTATTTAAATTTCTTATGTGGTTTAATGTAACAGGTACATACATATAAAAATATGTATATTTTAATTATTTTCTTTCTTTTTTGGACACTGTACTATCTAGGAGTACATTAGAACTTTCCTTCTTTTTAAGCAGGGAGCATTTTTTCTTAAATATTTGGCATTTATCACTTTATAAATGTTTAACATAAAGATACCTGCAGCAAAGACTCTCCTACATTTACTAAATATGGTCAAAATCTTTGCATTTTCAGAAGAAAAATAAAAACAGGTCTTATCAGACCTGCAGTGACGATGTATAACTTGAGTGGCTTTATTCTGAAACACCACATCAGAGCAAAATCCCATCATTAAGGAACTAACAAAGGAACACTCCGTACAAGGCCCTTCAGTGCAACTAAGTAAAAAATGCTGACTAGAGGAGCTGGGTTTGATTTGCGTTTCTTAAATTCTTGATTTTTTTGTTCTCATCCTCAGCTGCTAAGAACTCAACACTCACTAGTTCTTCTAGCATTTTATCTGCTTCTCTATACCCAGGTTTTACCTCAATTTGTCACATGAAAGACTTTCTATTTATAGGATTATGCTTTGTGAATACAGGATCTCTTTTACCCACGGAACACTTTTCTAAAGGGCAGAATTACTTGGCAGGTTATTTATGCATGGATTAACATCGAAAATATTGCAAAAATAATATATTTCTTAAAATAAGAGAAGGGGGAGATACAGACATATCATTATTAACAATTCAGAGTTGGCTATATGATCTTTATTTGCTTTCTAAAGTTCCTTAGGCATCTTAATATCTATTTTATAGACTCATCCTCACAGCAGATATGCTTTATGGTTTTAAACCTTTGTTTTTTATTTTGTTTATGGGATGTACATCCCTCTGGTTTTTACCTCTCTGCCGTTAGATTGGCCCTGTATACTCCTCTGTCTCGTCTTAAGCAAGAAGTAGCCACATTCAGTCAAAGGGCGGTATCTGATACCTTGATGACGATCAATCGGATGGAACAGGCGCGCACGGAATACAGAGGAGCCCTGCTGTGGATGAAGGATGTGTCCCAAGAGCTGGACCCAGATACCCTAAAACAAATGGAAAAGTTCAGAAAAGTATGAAAAGCCCTTCCCTGCCATTTTCTTGATACATAAACCTACTGAACTTACACAGAATAATTTATTCAAGATCATAAAATATCAGGCTATTTTTAAAACACATTATATTATAAATTCTTGGTTGCTTGGAGACCTTTGAAGTACAAAAGGTTACACTTTTTTACTCTTTGAGTGACATCCCCACCCTATCAACATTTTCCATTAATTTGGTTTTTATCCCTCTCACAGTAGATGTCACCACCCTTTAAATGTTCCTTCTCTGGACTTTTGGGATTTGTTTGAGGGAGGGAAATAGTTTATTAGTGAGGAAAAAATAAATAAGTAAAAATTCAGGTAACTTGATTATTATAAGAAAAAGTGAAGATTATCAGATTCTTCTTCTGCTACAATACATAGTTTGGCCACAGACTTTCAAAGTATATATGGACTTATGTTTTTGCTAAATAGACTACTTGTGAATTGTATGCCCTAAATTTACCATATATGAATAATAAAATTCATTCACTCTTTCATTTCATAGTGTACATATGCTACGAATTATATTTAATATTGGTGGAGCCTTTACCCAAACCACCATATAGGCCAAGCAACCTGTATTCTTTACCCTTTATAATCCTTGACAATTAGAATATAATCCAAGGGAGTTGTTAGACAATATTGTGAATACACTAATGTCGCTGAATTGTCTATTTTTTAAATGGTTAAGTTTATGTTATCCGAATTTCACCTACATTTTAATTGAAAAAGACTGCATTCTAAAATTATCTGGACCCAGGTATCCCTGCACAGCCTGTTTCCTGGTCCCTGTGCAGCCACATCTTACACTCCCTATACTCTCATGCCCCAGGAAGGAATATGTTTTAGCCTATTCCATATTGTTCTGCAAACATATTAAACTCTTCACCGACCTCCCACGCCCAGAACTTTTGTCCTTGCTTTTCCCTGAGCCTAGAATGCTCTTCTCAGAAGGTTGGCATGGCTCGCTTATCTTCTTTCTGTCCCAATTCAAACATCTTGTATGAGCTCACCAAAGGCTTCCGTCATCATCTTACCAAAAGTAGTAATTTCTTTTCACTTATATATTATCTTTGCAACTTGAGATGATCTTATATATTTATTTACTACTGTTTTTTCCTGTGTCTCCTCACTCAGGGATGGTGGGAAAGAACATTGTTTTGTTCCCCCACAATATCCCAGTGCCTGGCACATAATAGGTACCTTATAAATACTTGTTGAATGAATCAATAAGTATATTTAAAAGTTGAATATTCATGCCACTTGGTGACATATGACTTACCTCATGTGTAAGAAATATGATAGGCCTATATTTAAATTTATAAATGTATCTCCATGATTCAGAACTATGATTAATGCTTCTCAACACGTTAACTATGTCCCCTTTCCATTCATTCTTCTATTAGCTAGATGTTATCCATCAGTAGTTTTGGATGTTTCTTTTTATTTGGAATCTGTGGGGGTTTTTTTCTTCTTAACTATCTACTTTCCATTTATCACTGCATACTTTCTCAGCATAAAGATATCCATTGGAAAGAATCTCCTACAATTACTAAAAATAGCCAAAATCTTTACCATTAATCATGAAATAATAATACAAGGAAAGGGAATTAGTCATGTTTATTACAATTTCATGTGCCTGAAAATACATATCATGAGCCTATATGGTATATTTATGTCTATATTATCAGTAATAATAATAAATATTATTGTGGTTGCAGGTACAGATCCAAGTGAGAAATAGCAAAGCTTCTTTTGACAAGTTAAAGATGGATGTTTGTCAGAAAGTGGATTTACTTGGAGCTAGTCGCTGCAATATGTTATCTCACTCACTCACTACCTACCAGGTACCCACCTCCATGGTCAGCATGTCCTTGCAGTAAAGATGAGTGGTGAGATTCCTTTTTAAAAGTTGTCTAAAGGGTATAAAAAAATTGCATAACTAATCAGATTCTTTTGACTTTGAAAATTGCCTTACCGAGGTTACGACAGAGAATCATAGAATTCTAGACTGAAAAAGACATTCGGGATTCCCTACTCCTGTATCTTCATGTTATTCTTCTTGGTGTCCTAGGAGAGGGAAACTTAAGGGCCGTCTAGGTTTGAGTGGGGGGCGTTGAGGCAGGTTTCACATCCTCAACCCAGTAGTTTAAAACTTGAAACTGTTGTTTGGCCCAATAGATTAAAATTATTTTAAACTATTAAAATAGTTGACTCGCTGTGGCCCAGTAGTTTAAAACTTTCCTGTCATTTTATAGCTGAGGAAAGTGAAATGTAGGAGAATTAAAGTAAATGCTAATTTGGGCTAAAAACCTAAGTTTTCTCATGCTGGGTCCTGTGTTCTTTTCATTCTGCCAAGTCGCCATCTCCCACCACTTTAACCTCAGGAGTCCCACCTGCACTTCTATTACCTCAAATCCCACATAAATATCATGCAATGAATAAGTTAGATGTTAATTAGTAGCAATGACTAATTTTTTTTAAAGATTTTATTTATTTATTCGACAGACAGAGATCACAAGGAGGCAGAGAGGCAGGCAGAGAGAGAAAGGGAAGCAGGCCCCCCGCTGAGCAGAGAGCCCGATGCGGGGCTCGATCCCAGGACCCCGGGATCTCGACCCAAGCCAAAGGCAGAGGCTTTAACCCACTGAGCCACCCAGGCGCCCCAGCAATGACTAATTTTAACATGTATTCATGAACGGCACAATAGAATAAACTGTATTTACAGAAGATAAGAATAATAAACTAAAGGGAGTGACATTCACTGGGCCTTGTAGGAAATCTACCTCCTTCCGTTCAGTACTGTGGAATTCAGGAGTCAAGAAAGGACACACTAAAAAATCAAAGTGTGGCAGTCCGTGTAGCGTACACCTGAAACACAACAGCTTTTAGTTCGCTTCTCCTCCTCTCTTCATTCAGCCCTCTTCCTTTGACTAGGAGCTTTGAAACACCAAGGAAAATGTTCAGTTACTTGAGTTGGCTTGAGAACACATTTTTTTTTTCTTTCTTGTGCCCTAAGTGAAAGACTAAATTTAGTGGTACGTACTATTTTTTTCCAATTAATAAGGGTTTATATATGCTTACCAACATAGAGATTTACACATATACCCCTAATATAAATACAGTATTTTTGTGCTTTTAACATTCCTCTTTTGGACTTTTCAGAAAGTGTTCTAATCTACTAGTATTACTCTCTAGCTGATTCCAGTGTACATTCCACTGCTGTGTACAGATAGGCACATATATATGCCAATACAGATGACAGTTCTTTTTTTTTTTTTTTAAGATTTTTATTTATTTATTTATTGGACAGAGAGACAGAGATCACAAGTAGGCAGAGAGGCAGGCGGAATGAGAGAAAGAAGCAGGCTCCCCGCTGAGCAGAGAGCTGGATGCGGGGCTTGATCCCAGGACCCTGAGATCACGACCTGAGCTGAAGGCAGAGGCTTACCCCACTGAGCCAGTTCTTATGCAAAATTACTATTTACACGGCTGTGTGGTTCCCAAACCTGGAAATTGATTTTACTTCCTACTGTTTATTATTCAGCAACCATTCATCTGCCTACATTAGTGAGGAAAAACAGCAGTGAAAAAAAAATCGTATCTGTAGTGACATCCTTTCTTTCTCTGCAGAGGACACTGCTTGGATTCTGGGAGAAAACAGCTCAATTGATGTCCCAGATCCATGGGGCCTGTACTGGCTTCCATCCATATGATTTTGTAGCTGTCAAGGTACATTTCTTTCAATGTTCTTTTGTTAGATATATTCTACTTCATTTGGATAACACCGAAAGTATTTTGTGCTAAGCCTAACTTTCAATTCACAAAACACTGGGAAACATTTTCCTACACTCCTGTAGCCAGTTGTTTTTCAGTACTTCCCTAATTCCAAGCGCTACCAGCAACACTAAATAAATATGTGAGAATACTGCTGGTGGGCTCAAGATATTGGGTGGGGGTTAGAGGCGGGGAGTTAAAGAGCGAGCAAGAGAAAAGAAAATTAAAATGCAAATGAGATAAGAAAAAGTTATGGAAAAGAAAAACTTCAGAGGAACAAGCAATGGAAAATGGTCGTTGCTTTTCAAAAACAACCAGAGTACATACCTGACAATTTTAGAACTTAAAAATTTCCTTGCTTTACTTTTATACTCATGTTGTATAGTTTTCTTCTGTAGAGAATAGAATCATATGTAGATGTGATTCATGATGCAAAAATTATGGGTGATTACAGCTTAAGAGACTACTCTCTTGTATTAGATCAACTCTTTCTATAATGCCTACATAGTAAAGGGTACTCTCAGGTTTTTAACATTTGTGTATCTTCCTGTCAGTCTTCTTTGCATATGGCTTATCTAGCAGAGTCACACCATGGTAATCATTTCTTTACTTTGGGTAGGCTAGGTTTCAGTGCCTTTGAACCTATCTTTCTGCCTTGTTTTATTTTTTATTATTTTTATTAACATATAATGTATTATTTGCCCCAGGGGTATAGGTCTGTGAATCGTCTTGTTTTAAATAGAGCTTGAAAATGTTATTGTTGAGTTTACTCAAGCTGGATGTGGTATCTGGAATAGATCCCTATCTTGTACCTGTGTATTCCTGGGGCTTGGTATGGATTTTTAAGTCATGTTCTGACAGAGCATCTTCCAGTCTAATAGATACCCTCGTATTAGTCTTTATGTTTTTTGTTGTGCTTATGTTTTTTTTTTCTATATTAATGTTTCACTGGATAGCATACTGTGTTTTTAGGCAAATTTAATATCTAATTTCTGTTCACATGAAGTTGAAAATCTTCAGCCGTATTTAGAACATTGCAGTCAAAGTCAGAAACACTGTGTGAGTCTTCTTTGGCATATCACAGACTTAGAAACCCTGTGGCTAGCCTATGTCCTAGGCCATATGGTTGCCATAGGCAGCCAGGATAAACAGAGACACAGGGCTTAGTTCAATTTACATTACAATTTACATTACATCCCATCTCTCTCACTCTTTAGTCTAATTCAAAATTATCCCCATTTTATGTTGTTTTTTAGAATTTTTATTCTCATTTTGTTTGCACAAAGAGAGAAACATTCCATCTACTTAACATTGAATTTCTTGTCCTTAGCAACTACAGGACACTCCAAGCAAGTTTACTGAAGACCACAAAGAACAAATAGAGAACAGTTCTCTCACTGAAAACCTCAATAAGTAAGCAGGCAGAAGTACGGTATTATGGATACTGATACATGATAATATGATATATTTGGAAACTGTGGCTACTGATACATGGTATATATGGAAAGAGTTGTTTCTTTTCTGACTTACTGAATATTTATTTCTATGTCATTTTTCCAGTTAATATCTTTAAGGGATTTTTTTTTTTTAAAGTGAGTTCTGCGCCCAACAGGGGACTTGAACTCACGACCCAGAGAGCAAGAAGCAGGTGCTCTACTGACTAGCCAGCCAGGTGCCCCATTTTACTAGTTAATATTAAACATTTGTTTTGAAGCCTGATTTCCCCCCCTATTTTAGACATGGCAGGCAAAGTTGATGGTAACAGTACAGAGCAGATTGAGGCTATAACTCCAAATTCTGTAGTTTGGGAGACTGAGCTTTGTATTAAGAGCCTCTACGTAGAATCCCAGAAGGGCCAGCTTGCAAGAGAAAGGGACAGGCGCCAGCAGCTATGAAACAGAAGCTATTGAAAATCTATCTCCAGAGCAAAACCAATAGGACAGGGATTGGTCGCCTGAAAATGGGGCTTCTTGCCATGCACATCCTGTACGTTGCCTGTTTCCCTTTTTATCGTACTTTTGTTTTCCTTTCAGTGCTTCCACTTCTCATTTTAACTAGATTGCACTGAGTGTAGTAACAAACCCAGAAATAAGACCTGAACTGTGACAGACCACGTATTGCTGAGTGAAACGGGATCCAGGTCCCTCTTTTCTCTGTGGGGAAACCCAAACAAATATTATGGCTAACTTGACTATATAAACAATTTAGGATGTAGATTAATCAAATGTATAGTTATAACTGAAACTTATACGTTAACATTTAAAATCTTATGTAACATGAAATATATTCATTCAGTAAAATTTTTCCACTATCACATTTCATGAACGTTTTATTCAAAATCCTCTCATGCATCTTCAGCATTATGATAACTACCTTTTCAGTTAACTAACAGAGTACAAAGCATTTTATTTTTTCTTCCATCCAAGTTGTTTAAAAACCCATGTATATATGCTGTTATTGGAAATTTCATTCCAAGTCATTAGTATCTATTTTCAATGTAGGTTTATTTTTGTGTTCCTTGCAAATAAACACTGTGTAGGTTTCCCCTGCTATCTGAAAGTGGAGTATTCCAATGAAACATTTCATAAACCAGTACAGTGTAAGGCAAAGAAGCAATTACCATTAATTTTTGTGGAAAATTTTTTGAGTATTCCTAGACCCAAAAAGTAACCTCTCTCAGGCTTTCCTGACACCCTAGCACAGCTGTGCGCAGACACCATTCAGAACTCTAGCGGCTTAATGCTGAGAGGCTGAGTGTAGTTCTCAGGGAAGGAGCCTGGTGGCGCCGCTATCGCTGTGTAGGGTCACACCGCCTTTAAAAGGGCTCCTTGCAAAACAACACTGTTTTTTGCTTTTTGCCTTTTTTATAAAAGTGAAAATTCTCTTTGGATTTCTTTCAGTTAGCAAAGGAGGGTACTAACGTAGGTCTTCTGTAGAAGCATAATGCAAACTTTTGAAAAGCAGGCGGTACCTGTATTGCTTTTTATGTATCTTTAAAGATTTATTAAAGACAGCCTCTAATACTGGAGTTGTGAGGTTAAACTCCAGGAATAATGCCTTAATCTATGTTCAGTTTCTTTGTCTAATTTTTTCATTGCAGATGGATGATACAAATATCCAAAATTAGTATTGGCTGAGAATATTTTAGGCAAATGTGTCTTCTTATGCAAACATCACTTTGTTCAAAATAGAGTGCTCCATTTTTTCTGCGATTCTTCATTCCCTCTATTTAGATCCCAAGTATTCTTGAGCAAATTGCTTCTGTGCTTGAAAACTAAACCTCATACTCCAGGACTTTGGTGACGGATGTTCACTATACGTAGTACTTAGCACAGTGCCTGTAATACCAAACACGGTGCCTGGTGCTTCCTCAGTACTCAGTAACTGTTGTTGAAAGAATAAGGGATGAAGGATTATTTTCATAGTCTATGTAGATCTAGGGAAGAAGTGGCATTTGTCTCAGATTTTAGAGCTATCTACAAGACCACTATTTTATATGTCATCTCAGTTAAAAAATTTTTTTTGACCATATACAATTGTAGGATATGAGTCCAAGTGTATTTTAACCAAAATCTTTGCCTTTTTTGGTTTTTACTTTAGGTTAGTTTTGTCAGATGAGGAAGTGAGCTTGGGAAATGAACCAGGTAAGATGGTAAATTCATTAAAATGTGAAATGATCACATTTGAAATGTCAAAACAGTTTGTCACAACCTTTTAAAACAGATTGTATTAATATCTATTCATTTAAAAAAACATGTTAAATCCATTTATAAATCTCTTCTATATAAACACTTTTGAGTTAGCTTTCTTTTTCCCCCAGCTTTATTGAGTTATAGTTGACATATAACACTGTGTAGGTTTAAGATATACCATGTGATGATTTGATATAGTACGTATTGCTAAATGATTATCACTATAAACGTAGCTAACACATCTCTACCCTCACATAGGTACTATATACCTTTTGGCAACAAGAACATTTAAAACTTATTCTCTTAGCAAATGTCAAGTATGTAATACGGTATTGTTAACTGCTGTCATGAGGTACATTAGATCCCCAAAACTTTATCATCTTTACCTGGACGTTTATACCCTTTGACCAAATTTCACCATTTTCCCCGTCTTAGACCCTAATAACCACCAATCTACTCTTTGTTTCTGAGTTTGGCTTTTTAAGATCTAAACTTTAAGTGAGATCCCATAGTATTTATCTTTCTCTAATTTATTTCACTTAGCATAATATCCTCCAGATTCATCCATGTTATTTTATGAGTAAATAATATTCAATTTGATTCTATTATACATATCTATATACATGACATTTTCTTTATCCATTTATCTGTGATGGACACTTCAGTTGTTTCCATGTCTTGGCTATTGTAAATAATACTGCAAAAAACATGGGGATGCAGATAGCTCTTCAAGATAATAATTTTATTTCCCTTGGGTATATACCCAGAAGTGGAAGTGCTGGAACATATGCTAGTTCTGTTTTTAATATTTTGAGGAACCTCCATACTACTTTCCATAATGGCTGCCCCAATTTACATTCCCATCAACAATGCACAAGTGTTCCCTTTTCTCCATAGCCTGTCCCACACTTGCTATCTCTTCTCTTTTTGATATTGCATTCTAACAAGCATGAGGTGATAGCTCACTGTGGTTTTGATTTCTGTTTCCCTGGTGAGTAGTGTTTCGTGGAGCACCTTTTCCTGTATGTGTTGGCTGTGTACATGGCTTCTTCAGTTGGAAAAATGTGTATCTAGATTCTTTTTCCCTTTTTTAATCAGGTTATTTTGTTTTTGCTATTAAGTTATGAGTTCCTTACATATTTTGGATAGGAACCCCTTATCATACAGATGGCTTGCAAATATTTTACTCATTCTGTAGGCAAATGTGATTGGGTTTTTGATTGTTGATTGTTATTTTTTCTGCTGTGCCGAGGATTTTTAGTTTCATGTAATCTTCTTTATTGTTGCCTTTGTTTCTTGTGTTTTTGGTGTCCAATGCAAAAAAATCATTGCCAACACCAACGTCAGAGAGTCTTTTCCCAGTTTTGTTTTTTTTTTAATTGAAGTATAGTTGACATATATTAGTACCCGGTACTGCGGGCACCTAGTGGCTCAGTCAGTTAACCATCTGCCTTCAGCTTGGGTCATGATCTCAGGGTCCTGGGATCGAGCCCCACATCGGGCTCCCTGCTCAGTGGGGAGCCTGTTTCTCCCGCTCTCTCTGCCTGCCACCACTCTGACCCCCACTTGTTCTCTCTCTCTGTCAAATAAATAAACAAAAGTCTATCATAGTTTCAGGTACACAACACAGAGATTTGACAATTATGGACATTATGAAATGTTCATCATAATAAATGTAGTCACCATCTGTCATCTTGTAGAGTTTTTACAATATTGTCATTTGTATTCCCTGTATGTACTTTCCATACTCGTGACTTATCTGTTTTATGACTGGAAGTTTGTACCTCATAATCCCCATTATGTATGTTGTTTATGCCTCCACCCCACTCTCCTCTGGCAACCACTATTTCTCTATATCTATATATATATTGAAAGGGTAGTTCTCTATATTTATGTTGTTGTTTGTTTTGTTTTGCTCCATTTTGGGGTTTTTTTGAGTCCAGATATAAGGGGAATCATATGGTATTTGTCCTTCTCTGTCTGACTTGTTTCACATAGCGTAGTATCTTCTTAGTATCTTCTAGGTCCATCATGTTGTCACAAATGGCAAGATTTCATTCTTTTTAATGGTTGAGTAATTCCATTCTGTATGCATTCATGAACTATATTTATAACATCCTGTTTTAAGTTAATAAGAACTTCAATAGTATACAGAAACTCCACAGTTTTCTCCCCCTCACATTTTAGGTTATTAATGTTATAATTTACACCTTTTTCATTGTGTATCCAATAACAAATTATTGTAGTTAGAGTTATTTTTAATGCTTGTTTTTTAAACTGGAGTTTAAAGTGATTTATACAAAACTCTTCCAATATTATATAATCTTTGACTATATATTTACCTTTACTGATGCATTGTACACATTCATGTGGTTTTACAAGGTTATTTAACATCCTTTCATTTCATCTTGTAGAATGTCCTTTAGCCTTCCTGTAAGGGAGGTCTAGTGGTCGAACTTTCTCAACTTTCATTTGTTTGAGAAGGGCTTTATCTCTCATTTCTGAAGGACAGCTTTGCTGGGTATAGTATTCTTCATTGAGTTTTTTCTTTCAGTATTTTGAGCATATCATACTGCTGTCTCCTGGCCTGCAAAATTTCTCCTATGTAATCTGCTCACAGTCTTATAGTGGCTCCCTCATATGTGAGAAGTCACTTTTCTCTTGCTGCTTTAAAAATTCAGTCTTTGACTTTTGACAGTATGATTACAGTGTGTTGTATCTGACTGGACAAAGGTGCTGCTCATGCTCTGAGGTTGGAAAAGACCCATTGGCTGTATTTTGTGTTTAAGTGGTGCTGTTAGCTGGGATCCCTGGTGGAAGGGCTGTGCTCTGAGGTTAGGCAGGGTCACTAGCTGGGCTTCACAGTCATCTCTGATCAAAGGATGCCACTGCCGAGCCTCTTTTTTCAGGCAGGGTCACAGGTAGGTCTTCATGGTCTGATATGGGCTCACCCAGTGCTTTGCAATTGGGACTGCAGAGGCTGGGTTCTAAATCAGGCAGGGCGGTGGCTGTTCTCTGCTGTTGGGCAAGATTGCTGGCCATACTTCCTAGCTGAGTGGGCCTCATGCTTTACTGCATGTCTGGGCAGGGCATGAGGCTGTGTTTTACAACTGAGTGGGATCACTGCCTGGGCTCCCTGCTCGCTTGAGACGGCAGGCTGTGCTCAGAAGCTGAGCACGGCCATCCGCGTGGCCTCAGTGCCAGGCAGTGCTATAGACTGGAGTTGGCTGCAGGGTAGCACTGTACGCTGGGCTCTGGTGCTCCCCACGGTCACTGTTAGGGCTTCCCAGTGAGCAAGGCAGGAGATTAGGCTTCATACTCGGGTGGGGCTGCTGACTTGTTTCTCTTTCTGGGTGGGTGGGTAGGATGTGTTTTGTAACTTCCCAGGGTCTCAGTCCAGGCTTCCTGGTCATGTGGGCCTGGAGGCTGTACTCAGCAATGAGTTAGGTTTCTAGCAGCACCTAATTAGAGGTCTAATTATTTTCCTTAGGGAATTTTGATTTTTCTCCAAGATGAGGGCTTTTAATGTAGACATTTATTTCACAGGGTGGTATGATTAAGTTTCAAGCTTTTCCTCACACTTCAATACATGTTCTTATTTTTTTTTTTATAAATACAGATTATGTATACAATCAGTATATATTCAATCATTGCAGCTTTGGAGCCAGAAAAACCAGGGTTTGAATGTCAGCTTTTAAAAACAAGTCATATTTACCTTTCCCATTTTTCTCATCTGAAATATGAGTCATAGACTCCTACCTTACAGAGATATTAAGACTAGAGATATTTATAAACTACATGGCACATGATAGGTGTACAGTTAATGCAAGAGGCATTTTTAAGTGTACACATATATACAGATCATATTGAGAAACAATAATAATCGTGGACTTGTGTATCTAACCAGCTTCAAGTATATGTTCAAAAGGTTAGCTTCTTGTGCATACATAATCCTATACCCAAGTAGAGAGCATTTTTTAAAAGGCCTAGATGAAATATAATGGACATTTTTGTAGTTTCACCATTCATTTGTAGCATTATTCAATCTTCAAAAACTGCTGTATCAGTCATTATGTCTACTCTTTTTTATTTCTTAAGATTTTACTTATTTATTTGACAGATTACAAGAAGGCAGAGAGGCAGGCAGAGAGAGAGAGGGAGAAGCAGGCTTCCTGCTGAGCAGAGAGCCCAATGTGGGGCTCGATCCCAGGACCCTGAGATCATGACCCGAGCCGAAGGCAGAGGCTTTAACCCACTGAGCCACCCAGACGCCCTACTTTTTTTTTTTTTAAGAGTTTATTTATTTTAGAGAGTGAGAGAAATAACACAAGTGGGAGGAGGGGCAGAGGGAGAGGGAGAGAGAGAATCCAAGCAGACTTGCTGATCTTGGAGCCTAAGGCAGAGCTCAGTCTTACAGCACTGAGATCATGACCTGAGCCAAAATCAAGAGTCAGATGCTCAACTGAGCCACCCAGGTGCCCCATTATGTCTACTCTCTAATTCCAGATATTTATTTGTTCCTTCTCTCTTTTTTTCTTAATTAATTTTGCTAAGGGTTTATTCTTTCAACAAATCAGCTTTTGGTTTTCTTTCTTTTTGGTTTTCTATTGAATCTTTGTTTCTGTTTCATTAATTTTAGTTCTTATCTTCATTATTTTCTTCCTCTATTATTTTTGTTTTTTTTAAAGCTAAAATTTCTCTTTTTCTATATCCCACAAGTTTTTTTAAAAAGGCTTTATTGAGGTATATTTTATCCTAAAACTCATTCTGTTGTATAAATGAGTAATTTTTAGTTACTACAGAGCATTGCAACTATCTCTATAAGTCAGATTTAGAACCTTTTCATCCCCTCAGCAGTAAGATCCTTCACATCTGCTTGCTGTAATCCCCATTCCCACTCCTAGGCCTTTTCTGGACATTTCTTGTAGCTAGAATCATGCCATGTGTGGTGT